AAAAAAAAAAAAAAAAACAGTTTAGGTAATTATTTAAGCCCCTGCATTAGGAGAAGAGCAGAGAGTTAAGTCACAAGAGATTCCTTGCGAGAGTATGTTGCGACGTGAGGTAGTCTTCTCCCATGGCGAATCAGATTAAGATGTAAGCGGCGCGTGCATCCACATCGGCTTGGGAGCCCAGATTCTCAGATCTCGCAAGCGGCGCTATGTCAGAGAAGCTAGGAACAGAGTCACAGAGTCACAATCGTGATCGCAGCCATAAGAACTGATGCATTTGAGCGTGTAGCAAACTTCACCAAAGACACAACGCGCACAACTCACTGTATCTTGTCAGTTACCGAGGCTAATACGCTGGGAGTGGCGGCAGCAAGCGACCTGAGCAACCAGGCATGGCATCGGCACTTCTAGCTGCATCATGCCGCCACGGCCCAACGTGTAGCCCAAGGCTTCCAAAGATTGAGAGGCGAAACTAGTTGTGCAAGTCTTCGTCACAATGAGCCGATGCAACAAGTGTGCGCCAAACAGCGGAGGACCGGCCGGGCAGGGAACACTGCCAGACTTCGACAGCCCTTGCAGATGAGAGACGCGTGCCGAAATTGAGATATCGTCACAACAAGAAGCATTCCCGAGCCCTAAACTTACGATGCCTTCGGTGTCTTCTCTGCCAAAACCGATAATTCATCTCCAACTCGACTCATCTGCAAAATCGCGCAACTTGACTCGCTCGAGCTAGCCGTACGAGTAGGCCTGGCTCTCCCGGCACTGAGTCAACTGCGGTGCTGGCAAGTATCCAGCTGCACCTGGGCCGTGCCAGCCAAGTGCATTCAGCTGCTTAAGATTTGGGGTTTCTGGTGTTGGGACAGTTTGCGACGAAACGCATCCGTCGGCTCAAGACTTCGTAGTTCTTCGGTTAGCAGCCTGCTGTTCCAAGCTTCAGGATACAGGTGTCCTGAACCCCAAGCTCCCACCACCGCTCTAAAGCCTCTCCAGTCCTGCAGTGCGATTAGTCTGGTATACGCCGTTTCCAATCGATCCACTACGCGGCATGATCCTCTATCTATCAATATGCATTACAGAACAAAAAGTACATACATACATAACATAACATAACATAACATAACATAACATAACATAACATAACATAACATAACATAACATAGCATAACGTACCTACATACATACATACATACATACATACATACATACATACATACATCACGTCTTTCACGTCTTTCGGGCGTTGGCTCCAGATTGGTTGCGGCCCTTTGAGCACCTAATTGGGGTGAAACTAGAAAAGGCTCAGTCCCTGGGTGCGCAGTAGCGCACCAGGAATCCCTTGCCTTCCGCGGTACCTTGCTCAATTGCCCTGATATCTGGAAGCGGGTTCAGAGAACTGAGAGAGTCCGCAGAGTGCCACAAGCGAGCGTATACGCCCAGACCCCACAGCCTGAGGGCAAAGCGTACAAGGTCGCTGCCAAAGGTTTCACGTAAAAGGAGAGCCTTGAAGACCTTTGAAGGGCCACTGAACACAGGGGGGGTCAGAAATCCATGCCACTCCCCGACGTTGATCTCGAACCGCACGGAACGAAAAGGCCCATCAAAGAAAGTGGGGGAGTTCCCTTTATCAATGTCTACAACACACTCGCCCAAATATAGGACACCGAGTTAGGGGTCTCCCGTTCTCGCCTGGCACACCAGTCTGCAGGGCCAACGAAGACCCAGGTCTGCTCCGGCTCCGCCGATCGAACCAGGGGGAAAGCAATGTCAGACACTTCAAGGTCACGCAGAACATCATCCCCATCGCGAAAGGTGGCAGGTTGCGTCTCATCTAGCGCAGGACTAGGAACTAGCCACTCAGCCAGATCAGCTTCAACAATCCATCCCAGCGCGTCGAACAAACGGCGAGACAGAGCCGGTGGGTGCTCTCGGACTGCTAAAGAGGTACGATAGTGCGTCGCGGTAAGCCTCAACCGCTCTGTATCGGCGCAAACACAAGAAAAGGCCTCCCGCAACCTCTGCCAGAGCTGAGCATCTGTGCCATCCCCGAGGTCATAGCCTATCTGGTCAAGGCAGTCCAACACTTCGGCGATGGGGCGGTCCGGTTCATCTATCCACGGTAGATCGCTGAGACGACAAGGGGGTCCCTGAGCCTGAAGAACTGGAGCCTGGCACGCGCCTTGATCCTCAGCGCGGGTACTGCCTTGCCCCGGCTCTGCTTGACAGCTATATCCCGAGGCACAAAGGCGATGTCGACATACCCTGCTATAGGCTAAGTGCTTGCAGAGCTTCAAGTTCGTGCCGAACTGTTTAAGACACGCCTGACACTGGCGTCCGGTAAGGACACCACGGCCAATAGTACGACGGCCATGTGTTTTAAAGGCATGAACGGCCCACTGTTGTTTGCTGCGGAAAGTCTTGCAGCACGGACCACAGAAGAACCCGCATTCTATCGAGTTGTCCACATCAGCAATGAGTGCGCCCCCAGCAAGTCGCAACTGTCGGCCAAGAAGGCCCCGGTGGTACTTGCAGGCTGAGTCCCAGGACTCCCGATGCGTGGCTCTAGCTTGGGTCCTCTTAAGCATCCGCTTCCAAACGCCCGGCTGAGCGCACATGAGGCCCCTCCAGCTGAGCCATTGGTCCTCCCATTGGGAGGCATCTGGAGCTGGCCTTTCTAATTCCCAAAGCCAGCTAAGGGAAGACTGGACGGCACGCAACCAGTGCTGCTCTTTATGGACCAGGGCCCAAAACTCAGGTGCCGCCACCGAAACACATGACTGAAGGTGTCGCAGGCGCGCCATGTGAAGGAGAGTCTCAATGCTCGGCAGACCTGCTAAAACAAGAATCCGGCTGGACCCCAGGTGTCTAGCTTCCTCAACCTTATATCTAGGTCGGAGCATGGAGGCGGCCATATGGTGGTATGCGGTGGATATGATAGCGAGGTCCTGTCGGGGTAGTGTGCCCCACGTGCCAGCACCAAACAGCAAGACTGAGAGCACTAGAGACTCAAAAAGTGTGGCCTTGTCGGATTGACACACTATCGGCGAGGCAAAGATCTTCTTACGCCTTTTATTGAAGGCAGCCCAAGCCATGGCGACCCTATGTTTGATCTCCCGTGTCATGGTGCCCGAGTGGTGCACAGTCCCACCTAGGTGTCTGTACTCGGCAACCAAACGTACTTCGGCGTGAGGCCAAAGAGCGCTATCAACCTGCATGGTGGGCGGATCCGCTCGGAACATGTGAGCTCGGCACTTACGTGAACCCGGACCCACAACTGTAACGACCGCTTCAGTTTTGCCCTTATCGAGGTTGGGCAAGAGCGCTCGCCCCAGGCAGCTATCCAACAGGGCTCCTGTCGTGGAAGCTACTTGCTCAGCTAGCCCCGAAGCCGTTTGGGCTTGTATGACCAGGGCCGAGTCATCCATCCAGGTGCAGTCGAGCAGGGAAAGCAGCGAGGTAGGAGGCTCAGGTGGATGGAGAACATTGGCCATCATCATCGGGTGCCATGGTATCTGGACTAGACCACACGTAGCCTCAACCTTGGCCCTAACCTGTTGGAGGACTCTGGCGAAGACAAAGCTGAATATGAGGTCCGCCAGATTGTCACCTGGCCTGGTGCCAATACCCGTCTCGGTAACCAGCTCACCCTGTTCAAAACGGAACCAGGTATGTTGCAGCGCTTCACAGGTTGCCGCCGCGGTCCAGGGTGACGAGCCGGCTCGCTCGAAGAGAGACGTGGATTCCAGGTGTGCCTTCAGGTCGTGCATCACACCATGTGGCAAGGACACAGAGGCAAGGATATGTGCAATCTCCTCGTCTGATCCTTGGAATCCCGTGACAAGAGGCCGAACAATGCGGTAGAACGCTTCACGCAGGTCAAGAAAAATCACAGCGTGCGAGAGGCCGCTGTCGCGGTTCCAAGCCTGGTGCAGCCTCACTACCTGCGCGGCTAACGTAACCGGGCGCCGTGGCAGTCCGCCTATCTGCAGCGGGGTGGCTGCAGCTTCTAAGGCACCGACATTGCGAGCGCGCAAAATTTTATGGTACGCTTTGCCAACGGTCGAAGACACGAGTATGCCTCGATAAGCGCTGCATGCGCTCGGGGAAGATTTCCCCTTCCAGATCGCGTAAAGTGAACCTCCCTTGAACTGTATGGGTTCTTCTATTCGGAGGGCACATTTCATTATGACGGGGAAGAAGGCGGCTGCAGCTGCAGCTGGGGCAGCATGTAGCGCCTCGGCTGGGATGCCGTCAATGCCGAAAGCTCTATGAAGCATAGTGTCCCGAAAGGCCGCCTCGAGTTCTACTCTGGTTGGAACGTCTTCAGCAAGGATCGGGAGGCCCTCGAGATCTCGTTCCCGTTGTGTGGCAAGGCAACCTTTGTTATGTCAAGTGGGGTTTTAGTGGAACCTCCCTCTATACCCGAGAAGTGATCCACCCACGCTTGCTCTATCATGCGGGGGTCATCTGAGATGGCTCCTTGTTTGTCCCTGAGCCCAGGTAGGTGTCGCGGGCCCCGGCTCTTCCTGGACTGGGGTCCCAGGAGGCTCTGAAGCCGAGACACAACGTCACCTGTGCTGCTATTGGCGGCATTGGCAGCCGTGTCCTCTATGCGGGCAAGCATGTCAGTACGGATGGACCTCCGGAGAAGTTTCTTAGTACCTTGAAGCTCTGAGACATGCTGAGCGGCAGCCCTAACTTGCTGGCCATATCGCAGAATAGCAACTATACGTGAGACAGTTATGCACGTCCGCCGTTTAAGGCAGGCCCATGCACTGCGGATGTCTATAAGCCCGCTAATCTTATGCCATCTGACAAGCTGCTTGCGGAGCCATACCCTCTTCTGCCGAAGCTGCCAAGTGAAAGGGCTGAAGTACGAAGTTCGACACTGTCGCTTAGCCGGAGGGAACGCTGTGCCCATTGCAGTGACAAGATGTTGCTGTACGGCAGCATAATGATCGTGAACATTAGTACGCCATGGCTCTTGTGGGGTGGCCGCAAAAATGGCTTTTAGGGTCTCTCGTCCCTCCTCCGAGAGCATGGCTTCGCGATCAAAAGCAACCTTGGAGTTGCTGTTGGCCCTATGCCCTACGCCGTGAAAGCTGACATAGGTCCGCACTGCGAAGTGATCTACTCTTCCCTGTCCCCAGTCGAGAGAAGCGAAGACCTCGGAGCACCCATCAGGAACCGTCCATGTCCGCGGTACTAGGACATAGTCAAGCCTGGTGCCAGGGGCGCCTGTCGGGGGCCCTCAAGTGGCATTTGCGCCTGGGTGGCACTGCTCAAACGTTGATGGGATCCACAATTGGTGCCTGGCCAGAAGTTGTAGTAGGGCCGGCGAGGCGGGGTATTTAGTAGGGAAAACAAGGCTCCCTATGGTGCCCGCCACACTATCAGAAAAGTGCATGTTAAGGTCCCCGAGAATCAAGACCTCACAGCCTCGGCACAACCTATCAATGGTCTGACCAAACTGTCGCCACCACTCTTCTCGATGGGGAGACGTGGCGACCGGTGCATGCACTGACGCTATAAGGAGCCTCACCTCGCCTTGGCAATACTTGACAACGAGCTCTCATGACCAGGACACGGGAGGGGTCAAAGTGTACTGGGGTCTGCCCTAAGTATGCGAAAGCATGTCGCCGCGACAGCCACAATTCTACCCCAAAATTACCCCGACTATCCCGGCCCGTGCAAAGTCGGATGTGAGTGCTGGAGAGGTACATGCTGTCTTTAGGCGCTCGGGCCTCTTGGAGGGCAACGATGTGGGCTCCGTAGTAGTCGAACTGCTCTCGCAGGAAAGCGGCACGCCCTACGAAACCATTATCATGCGCAACACTGTGGGGATTCTCTTTATCGTCTGCCAACGTTTGTGTGTTGAGGGTAAAAACACACATACGGCCTGTCAGCTGGAGAGGTGTGGTCGTGGTAGGCGCCTGACAGAGACCAAAGTACTCATTGCATCGTTGACTGTTCAAGAGCGGTTTATCGCAATTTCGATAACGATCCACGAATCCGGTCCCCGAAAAGGTCGGCCAGATCTGAGGTGATACCACCGCCGAGAAAGCCGCCCACAGCCATGGTAAAAAGCTGGAGCAGCACCAGTGAGAAACGACGGTCATATGCCGGCACCAAGGATCAGGGCCTATCGCGGGGTCACAGGCGTACTTGGCGAGTCTGTCTACGAATTCGTTAAGGAGGTCGCCGCGGTGCGAGCGTACATGTACTATGTCGCCAACCGCACCAGAAGGCGCCGCCTCAAGCGCCTGAAAGAGGCATCGACACACCTTTGCGAGGCCCGAAGGGTGTGCAGACCCATACCTGCCTGTGGTTTGTCTCAGAGCGACCTGACAATCAGCAAAGAACTGCAGGGGAACCCGTGCGTCACATTGAAGGGCCCAAGCTAAGGCCCATATGAGGGCACACTGTTCCCCAGCTAAGGCACTATGGCGCTGAGCACCAATGTATCCACTCTGAGTTGGATCAATAACCACCTTCCCCCCAAACCAGCCTAAGAAGGTATTCCCTGTAGCTTGCTGTCCAACAACAACGAATGCCCATGAGCTGGCATGTCCATCAAAGGACCCGTCAGTGTAAATACCGAGCTTATGAAAGGCATGCCAGTCGGGCGAGCCGCCCTGAGGGAGCAGCAGGGAAGGATCAACTTGGTCTCGAACGCTAGGAGGGACCTGGTCTTGAAGAGGCCAGGATCCAGGGCGAGTGAGATCGTATGCAGAAAGAAATCTCGCTCCGAAATCGACCGTAACTGCCCTAAGGTCATAACTCGGTGTCTGTGGCAGATGGTCTGCCAGACGGAGGGTGCATGCTTCAGCTGGTGGCTCGCGGGCACCTGCTTGAAAGTAGTCAACCAACGTATCAAGGAGTGTTGAAGCCAAAAAGGCCCACTCGTCAGAGCGCTTATCCTCCAGGAGAGGAAGGGCTGAACCTCACAACCTCTGCTGTCTGTTCCGGTTGTGCGCGGAGAGATCGACAAGGGGTCGGGATTGGTCGCATTGGCACTACCTGGCCTAGGGTCTCGAACCTATGTCGGGCCTGAGTGGGACGGCCGGAATACTTGGCTACATCCGAAAGTCTATAGCCGGGGCCATCCTGACCAGGCCTTACGGCCAGTGCGGCTTGGGCCTGAAGATAGCAGACACACGCAAGGCCTGCTAAGACCCTGAATTGACCTTGGCCTACACGATTTCTGGCAGCCACTACGCACGCTGATGCGACGACAACAAAAACCGCCCCTAGCTCAGAGGAGCAAGCAACAAGGAGGAAGCTGACAAATGCACAGTAGCGCCTCCATGCCTGTCGAACGTCATCTTTAGGTCCATGGGTTCAGCTTCCCCGTCTTGTGGCCCTAACGGCATGCGTATCTCCGGCGTGGGCTCCGTCCGATCGAACAAAGACGCCTATAAACGTCTGACCCAGCGAAAAGGGGGCCCAGGTCCAATGTATAGGATACCCATGCATTCTAGCATGCCATCCAGCGGGCGCGGACTGATCAAGGTCACTGAGAACTGGCAGAAAGGAAAGCCAGTCATCCTCGCTATAGATAGGGAACCAACCTTGAAGCAAAGGCCTTGCGTCAAAGAGGCCTATGGTGCCTGTCTGAACGGAAGAATCAGCTGAGCCATTCGCACTCCTATCCGTAAGGGCAACCACAGCTCTGCACCGCCTGCCTTTGACTACTAAATCAGTAGGTGATGTGGCGGCAGGCGTGACCCCAAGGGATGAGAAAGGTCTACCAACAAGTAGGGCGATGTCAGCAGCATAGAAAGCCGCTCGCTCTGGAACAAGGGTGTACACCTGTGCTTCATTGTGGCTGACCAAGTAATACCTGTCCGCACCATCGCTTTGTATGGGAATGGGCTCTCGTATCCACAGGTGTGGGGATTGTAACATATGATGCAATGCTGTCGCGGGCATTGGTCCCAAGGGCGGTGTGAAGAAGGAGATGCAGTCCCCAATATTGACCTCGATTTCTTCTCCATCTGCTAAAGGTATGGGCGCCCCTGGGCCATATATGTCAACAACAGCTCCGGCTGCCAATCCAGCGATCGCAAGCAGGGAGAAGCGATCCACTCTGGGTGGAGTACGGGCAACGAAAATCCTCTCATCAAAGGCAAGCAAGTTGAAGCACACAACATGAGTGGTAGTTGCCCATTCCGGCACTGCCAAGATGGCACCCCAGCCTGGATCTGGCTGAGGCCAAATGGGTATTAGGGCAGGGAACCATTCCTTATGGGTGGCTTGCCGGCAGGTATGAACCAAATCAAGAAGGGCAGGTACAGACTGCGGCAGGACTATTTCTAGGGTAAGTTCCTCTGGTGCGTAGTCTGGCGTGAAGAGGCCGAAGGAAGCGGTGACAAGTACGAGGTCCACTTGCCAGTTGGTGTCCTCTTCCGAGTCCTCTGCAACCCCGAGGCCCCCTATGACGTCACTAGGGTCCCCTGGCCAAGGGTGCCCCAGGAGACGCGTGGCTGCGCGCGCAGCCTCATATATCCTGAGTGCATCGCCGCTCCCTCTTGCCGGGTCTGTGAGCAGCCTACTTGCAGTTGGTAGGTATTTAGGGAGGCTCTCGATGGCGGCCTTCCAGGTAAAATGGGGAAGAAGGCCATATCCACAGAGGAGGACAGGGGTGAGGCACTGACTGCCTTCGGCAAAGGCGCATTGACATAGGTCAGAACCCCACGTGACTACTCTACTCTGTGATCCTAAGGCCAAAACCTGTCTATAATCCCACATCGGGGCAATGGCGGGCTTGGCTGTGTCTCGGAGACCTACTCCTGTGCCTTTGTCCTGTATCGGAGACCCTCGTGGTTCCATTTCCGGGCCTTCTGGACGGGCCGAAGCCTTGTGACGGCCTATTTGGGGCGTGGTCCTGACCTTCATCCGGAGGGATTCCGTCTTCCGGCGGCATCGAGGTCCCGGAGTAACCAGAGGCAGAGTCTGGTAAAAACTCGACAGTGAGCACTTGGCCAGAAACTATGGCAAAAGCGGCCTCACGTTCTACGGACACAACTGGGGCTCCACGCACAGAAACTACATAGCCATAAGGGCAGCTATGTTTGAATAGGTCAACTAACTCCTGTACCAACACAGCCTTGGAGCTGCGGAGCTGCCACGAGATACCCTGCAGAATGTTTCGACAGTCAAGTATGAGCGCAACCCGCTCTTCAGGGTATCTGGCAGGCGGGTATGGAACCCTGGACAGTTGTTCAGTGGCGACAACTAGGTCGGACGCCCAGTATCCAAAGAAGAAGCCGTCCTG